ACACCCACACACACAACTGAAGTCACTCTACCTGTGTCCAGGCAGGGCCCTCCCAGGGAAGACCAAAGGGGAAAACAAGGCAGGGGGCAGGCAGGTGGTGGCCCTGTGCCGGCCCCTGCTTTGCTTCCCCTACCGCTCTGCCTTCCTTTCCCCTCCCCACCTGCACAGAGACCCTGGCTTCCAACAACCCTTTAGCCTGCAGCATGCAAATATCAAAAGACCTTTGTCACAGGAAGGATGATTAGTGGGGGGTGAAAAGGAGCCTTTTCTGTCAGGGAAACTAGACGGTCTCTGACCTTTGTGGTCGGCACCAGGGCCCTCCCCAGCTGCGAGTGAAAGGAAACACAGGATGATGCATCACTTTTCGTGGCCTCTTTGATATTTTTCTCCAGTCTCTGGTACCATCCCTCACCCTGTCCAGCCTCCCTTTGAATCCCCTCCTGATGTGAATCACCTCTGGCTTTATAACCTTGCCATATGCCCTGACCACACACCTTCATGCTGCCCATGTGTGGGCACAGGACAGAACTGTGGCCAGTTAGTCAGGGGGCCTGGGGACAGCTGGGTTCCTGAGGATGCCCAGGAGCAGCCTGACTATGTAGGGAGCTGGGGTTGGGAGGAAGAGAAAACAGGTCCTTGTGGAGAGTTCTTCTCCTCTCCTGGTTCAGATCAGCTACAGGCTGTGGCACATCCTTGAAGATGCACTATCTTTGTCCTGTTTCTGACCCTCTGAGGGAGAAAAACACAGTGGCCGAGAGAGTTAGAGTCAAGATCTCAGAGAGGGCTTGTGCCTTGGACCAGAGCTTCTTTCTTATCATTTCATTCTGGGAATTCAGTGGTTTGAAAAATTGGTCTCCCCAGGAGCCTGCATTTCTTAGGCAGTGACTGGCTGTCACCTTTGTCATTAACCACAGATGCCTCTCTCTGTGTATACCTGCCAGTCCCTGGTCCTGGTCCACAGGAGACAGCCAGCATTCCCGGTCTGAGTTGATGTTGCTCCTGCCCAAAAAAGAGGGGAAAACGCACTGTAGCCTGGGTAGATAACCTTGTTGTAGATAAATGATTTCTCCTAGTCTTTGAAATAGAAATGAGCTCTCAAACCCCCATGGCCCACATAGGGACCACTTCCCTGTGAGAGGACGGAGGTCAAGAGTAGCTGAGGGCTTTGCACATCCACACCCGCATCCGTCAGCCTCACCTAAGACATGTATCAACCCCTGGCATGCCCTTCCTGCTTTTCTCCTGGAGGAGGGAGGAGAAGAAACAGATCCACGTGGGCTGCAGGGGACTGGGCGAACCTCACACCTTCCAGTGGCAGAATTTACCTTGAGTGGCTGGAACCCAGTAGAGGCTGGATCCGTGAAGACCACTGATGAGCACTTGCTGTTTGTTGAGTTTCTAACACACATTCCTGGGTCATAGGGAGCTACTTGGCATTTTCCTAGCTGTTTAGAAATGGGTATTTGACCGCAGAGTGTAATATTTTAACACCAAAACCATTTACACTCTGACTGTGCCTGTGGAAATAGCTGGCTTCACACCTTGGTTCTGAGAAATTCTGAGTTTCACAACCCCATACCAGCTCCCAGACATCATTCAATCTGTTTACTTTTTCTCAGACTTTCAAAGCCAGTGTTCTTTTGTTTTTATTTTCCTTCAGCTCCCGACCAATTGCTTTTTGTGAGTAACAATCCTGGGGTGGCAACTGCCCGTTATAAGGACTCTGGGCGGGTTATGTACCTACTGCCTCATTATTTTGGGCTTTTGGACTTGCCATACATTTGCAGACCACAGGCTACAGCTTTGCATTTGTTGGTGTGGTGTCTGGTGGCTTTGGAAAGCTGTTGAGAAGGCATACACAGGATCTGTTGATCTGTTCTTTCTCTGCAGTTTGCTGCAGTTTCTCTCTTTAAGCCTTTAACATTTTTCTGTTAAAGTTTATATATGTGTGTGTGTGTCTGTGTGCATAAAACCAAATATAATCTGATAGGCCAACAGGGACCTGCACCAATACTGTCTAAACACCCTATTAAACGCACAAATAAAGCATTATCTGAAGAATAATCAATATTGGTATGAAAATTGAGGGCTGTATGGTTAATCCAAAGGAGCAGGAATTGACAGAGGACCTCAGCCAATGTTTGTAGAGGATATTTGTCCAGATTTTGTTATCAGGAGATTACCACGCACCACCATTTCTTCATAATCCTCCAGATGAAGGCTTGGTACCGGGTGTCCCAGGAGATTAGGCCAGGAACAGTAAAGTCTGGGGACCTAACATGGCAGTGTGGTCAAGTACACTGGTTCCCATGTCTCGGAAGAGCCCAAGGAGGTTTGTAAAAGCACAGATTCCAGAACCCTGCCCCACAAGGTGAACATCAGAATCTCTGGGGGTGGAGCCCCAGAGGCTGCCCTGCAAACAGATGCCCTCTAATGTGCCAGTGGCGTGGGTGCCATTTGTGTAGAGGAGAAAGATGGAGAGACCAAAGGATTGGATTCTTGGCCTGGATCTGCAGCAAACTTGGAATGTGACCTCAAGTCAATCACTTACACCCTCTAGGTCTCCATTTATTTTGTTTTAAAATGAAAATAATTCTGCCTGTTTGTCTACCTCAGGGCTACTGGGGTAATCCAATGAGAGGAAGGGTGGGAAGGAAGCATTTACATGTTACCTCACTTAAGCCTCCACAGAGGTGAGCATCATCGTTATTCAGATGAGGAAGACAGGCACTAAGAGGCTCAGTAACTGTCCAAGGTCCCAAGTCTTGGAGGTGAAGGAGCCCAGATTTGAATCCAGGTGCGTCTAGCTCCACAGATTTCTGTTCCATCAAGGTGCTCCTCTGAGACTGTAGAAATCAGGTAGATGCTTGCTAGTCAAACTGAGGCATGCGGACCAGCAGCATCGGCATCACCTGGGAGCTCGCTGGAAATGCAGATTCTCAGGCCACGCCCTCGGCTGACTGCATCCGAATCTGCATTTGAAGGAGCTTTCCAGAAGATTCCTGTGCACCTTAGAGTTTAGAAACACTGTTGTAAAGGACAAGAGAAGGCAAGTCTGAAAATGAGGTTACGATAAACGTACATAATCCAACAAAAACGCAAGATCCTCACAGGGATGAGCAAAGAAGACAACTTTATGGCGAAACTCCTGTGAGCGGAGGACAGCTGTAGCCGTGTCAGCCCTTTCTGTCTGAGCTCCCGTTGCAGGGCAAGCACACCTTATCTGAGAAAGTCCAAACCTCCCAAGAGAATGGGTTTTTAGATGGAAACACATCATTTTTATAGGGGTGTGTATGTGTATTTAATTTTCCAAGGTAATATGATTACTTTCATTCTTTAAAATGAGAGAAGGAAAAGTCAGGAAGAAAGAATTTAGCAAACTGACACCGCCCAACAGTTTTCCTTGCTGAGGGCTCTCCTGTTCCTACCCTTTGAGAGTGTCATCGCTTTTCATTTATTTCAGGAGTGATTCCCTCATGGCAGATAGCATCCACCAGGGAGGATGGCCAGTTAGGCAAAGGGAACTTCAGCTTCCAGAATATCCTTTCTATGGGTGTCGGTCCTCAGGTTAAATCCTAAGACCCAATGGTTTGAAGGATGTTCCCCTGATACTCAAACTGTAGCAGACCCAATACACATGGTGCTCCCTGCAGAATGCAACGAGCAGGAAATCCCTGACCCAGGGCTCAGAAGAGAAACTTGCCAACCAGGGCTTTGAGAAGTATGGGAAAGCATCCAGGCAGCACCCCGAACTGCCAGCCGTAGGGGAAGGTCAGTCCACTATGACAACCTGGGGCCAGAATGTCCAGTAGGATTCGGTTCGGGGAAGAGTGTGTGAAGCCGGCCCTGGCTCCTCCTTGCCTCTCCTGGATTAGCTCTGTTGAGGCTGCGCCACACCCCTGGGTCAGCTGGGATTTCTCTCCAGTGATTTTAATATATGTTCTCATGTTTAAATTCGTGATTCATGTGTACTGTATTATTTAACCCTTAACCCTTCCAAGTCACTTTTTTGAGACCAAATCTGTCTGTGAAGTATACAAATTCCCTGAGAGTCGACACCACTTGTCATCGGTGTCCCAAGCACTCGTTTATGTCCATGGCTCCAAAAAGAGCCAGTCTGGAATATGACACAGACCTGACCATTGCCTTCTAGGAACCTGAAGGGTAAGGCAGAGGTGGTGACACATAAATTAATGTCCTGGCTGCATATGTCAGTGCAGACGTGGATACACATCTACTAAGTCAGAGACTCTGCATGTACTAATTGACATATTTAGGGGGTCCTGACCTTGTAACTTGGGGTTCTTTCACCACGCTCAGCCCTGGTCTTCTTGTACTGGCTTCACTTCAGACTTAGCCAAATTAGGGTTGGCTAAGCCAATTTTTTTATAGTCTTTCCTTCCCTGTGTTGTTTTGTTTTTTTAATTTTTCAAAAGTCTGGAAGAAGGGGCTTTGGGTTGGGATGATACCATCATTCTGTGACTTGTAATTTCATTCTGTTAATAATTTTTTTGAGTCATCTGAGTAGAAGCTTTGGTTTTGAAAAATTATGCACTTTTAAGTTTTGACTCCAGCAAGTAATTTCAGCTCAGCTGTAAACAGTTCTAGAGGGTGAGTCTGAACGGGGAGCTACTGAGCCAGGCTTCCCCCTGGGGACCTGGAGTCCTCACTCCTTGCACAGCACCTGATTTCACAGATAAAGAATTTTAAAGGTGTGCTGGGGGCAAGGGGATGAAAGAGAAAGCAACCTCAATTGGTTCAAAACTAGACTGTAAAACAACCCTGCTGTTCCCTCCCTTCTCCCTTCCCCCACTGACTGATGCTTTCCATCACCTGAGATGAACCGGGAAGGCTGGCTATTGACAGCTGTGCAATTTGCACAATAAAGTTTAACGGTTTACATCCCCTTGTACGACTTGGTCAATGTTTTCAATGGATCACCTTCTCGGGCCAGTTCCCACACTCATACTGACTCTCGCCTTCTTCTCTTTCCCTTCAAGCATGCAAACGCAAAGAGCAAGAACCTAACAAAGACAGGAACAATTCCCAGAAGAAATCCCGCCTGGTGTTCACCGACCTCCAACGCCGAACCCTCTTCGCCATCTTCAAGGAGAACAAACGCCCGTCCAAAGAGATGCAGATCACCATTTCCCAGCAGCTGGGCCTGGAGCTCACAACCGTCAGCAACTTCTTCATGAATGCCCGGCGCCGCAGCCTGGAGAAGTGGCAAGACGACCTGAGCACAGGGGGCTCCTCGTCCACCTCCAGCACTTGTACCAAAGCGTGATGGAAGGACTCTCAGTTGGGCACAAGTCACCTCCAAGCGAGGACAACAGATACCAAAAGAAAACACAAAGGAAAAAGACACCGGATTCTTAGCTGGGGCCCTTCACTGGTGATTTGAAAGCACAATTCTCTTGAAAAGAAACTTCTATTCTAGCTGTAATCATAGGCCAGGTGTTCTTTTCTTTGTTTGTTTTTAATGGCGATGGGGTCCAGGTGCGAGCTGGAAATTAATCTCTTTGAACCGGACATTGTCCTCTGAGCATGCTAAGCAGCCCAGAAACCCAAATGGGGCCTTCCTGGAGCAAGTTAATTTCAGTGTGGTGACAACCAAGCTCAAGATTGCTTAAAATGTCAACAGTCCCACTTTGGGTCCTGTCAACCTCTTGCCGTCGGAGTTCCCACGGGTAACGGTGGGAATGTGGCCCTGTAAGGACTCTGAGTTTGGGCTCCCAAGATGCTACAAGGAGAGAAGAATCTAGCAACAAGAATGACCTCATTTGCTTTCCAACTGCTTAGCCTCATCATACCACAGTACACAATGTTCACAGCCATAACGTAAAAAACATCAGAATGATAATTACTGAGCACAAGTTTTAAATACGGAAGTTAAAAAAAATAACAACCCAAGGACCTGTTTTTCCAACTCAGGCATCTTTTCATTCAATGGCTTAGAAAGCTTTAAGTTGATCCAGTTTACAATTTTCTTTTCCTTACCTCCTGGAAATCTCGCGTGGTCTTGGATCCATCAAAAAAACAAATCAGTTCACTTGAGCTCAAAGTATCAAGCACAACGAAGATAAACAGAGAAGTAAGGAAGGTTCTGGATTCACCGCATCTGGATTTTCAAGACGCTGATTGTGAAGTCATTAGGGAATCGTTGAGAATATGGCTTCAAGCACATTTTGCCGTTTGCGATAAATTCTGTTTGTACATAATGCAGACGCACACTCAGGAGGCCAATTAACTGTTACGGTACATGGAACAAATGCAGCATTTTAAAAGATCTAGATTTTTTTAGATCATTAATGTATCCTTCTTGATGATTAGTCACCTGGTTCCTCCTATTGTGCATTCTGACCACCACATAATTCATTTTCACTCTTTCAGATTTAGGTTGTTCCCTCATCCATCCCATTGGTAGGGACGTTTTCAGTGTTTTCTAGCAAGAAAAAAATGAATAATGCAAACCACCATACGTGTTACTCATGACTGTCATCTAGTCCTAAATCTCTTCCATTGTTGAATGATCCTAGCAAAACAGCTGAATGAATCTGGGGAAAACACAGCACACCAAAGAAGCAGAGTACTGCGAACCAAAGACACTTATTACTTGCCATTTTCTAGCCTAAAAATACTGTGATTACTTTTAGAAATCAGAAAACCTCTGCAACTCCGAATGGCATTCATTTGCATTTGGCTCGCCATCGGGCTGAGCAGACTGGCTATGCCAAGGACGTTAGCCAAGCCACCCAGGGAGTGGCTTTGCCGTGCCAGCTCTGGTTCCCTGGTTGTCACCTTGCCACAGCAAGCAGAAGAGCGCCCGCAGCACTCTGGGAGATTGCGAAGGTCACGACGTGCGTATTTACCAGTGAACGGCCCCAGGTGGGCACCGTGGGGATGTTCAAAGCAAGCCAAACGCTGCAGTGATTCTTTACAGACGCTTGAGACTGACTTTTTTATGAATTACTTAATCGAAACCAAAGAAACTTTTTCTGCACCTACTTCTGCAACAAACAAAACAGTCCCATTAAAAAGAATAAATAACGAAATACGTAAATCAATGAAAATCACCACCGACAAGAAGGAAGCACGCCAGAAAAAAAAAACAAAAAAATAGCGAGACACACTGTGTTCAAACAGACCTCTTGGGACATTTTTTTGGAAGCAGATTTTTAAAGAAAGGGTTGAGACAATAATAGAATAAGGAAAAGCCTCAGTGGCGGCTGCTTCATTTGACAACTCACGCGGTAATCTTAAAGTTGAAGATTGTCTTTAATTTGTGCCTATGCAGTTTTTCAAAAGAACACGGAACAGAGCAACAGAAACCTCAACAGCTACAATACCAAAGATGAGGATTTCTCACACCTCTTGTTTCAGTTCGTTATCTCCTCTTGCCTGGCTAAAATACTAATAGCGCCATTGATCTGTGTAAAGGTAATCAATTTTGTTTCTGAGCAACAAAAGGAAAGGGTCATTTATTTGATTTTATTATTTCCCTTTAATTTTGTTTTATGGTTTTCTACCCTACCATGGAATCTCTCAAAAGGTTCCATGGACTCCAAGTTTAAGATGTTGGGATACTGAACGATTCTCTTCTCTCTGCTGTGCAGTGTGTGAGGAATAATGTTGTCACTTAAATGTTCTTTGCTTATCCCTTAGACTTGGTTCCTTCTATGTTCAGAGTCTTATCTTCAGGGGAGGGAAGGGGAGTGAGGGTCAGGGTCAGGGGTCTTGGTGACACATCCTCTCCTGAGCCGCAGAACCAAAGAGTTTATAGAGGAATTGACAGCCTCATCTTCATGTGATTGCTACATCCTAACAGGGCTTCATTTGATGGTGGGGGAAACATGTAAAAATAATTGCCAGTTTCTACTTTTCTATTAGCTTTTTAAAAATCAGCTGTAAAGTTGCATTTCTAGAGAAAGATATATATATAATATATGAATACATATATAGGTTCAACTTTACATTGATGGTAACCCAAAATTATTGCTGTCCAAATTCATGTCTTGTTTTTGTCAAGTGCTTCATTTATGAAGTATTCATTTCAGAATTTTGCTCATTTCTCATGCCATCCCAGAGTTCATTTGCCACTGTGGATGATTTGGAGTATTCAAATTTCTGTGAAAACTCCTGGGAAAGGTTGAAAGTCAAGTTCAAGCGTTTCAGCATTTAACCTGTTGATAAATGGATCCGTGGTGCAAATGAGTTTTATTTGTATTTGGAGTCATCTCTATTCTATGCCTCAACCATGATCAAGGTGGTAAGTGAGGTTCATCCACCAGACCCGGCCCAGAACTGGGCCAGGGCCAGTGGGGTGCTCATCTTCTGTAACTGCTGAGAAGGCTCAGTAGTCCATTCCTACCAGTTATGGAGATGAAGCCAACCCAGAAATCTGTTCTCCAGGAGCTGCCCTGTCCCATTAGGGTATTCCAGATCCCCCTTGGTGAGTAGATCCACCAAAAGGACTTCTCATAGGGGAAGTCCAACTCCTGTTGCAATGGGTTGATCAGGTTTCCTCAGGGTGGTAATTACCAATTCGTATAGACAAGCCTGTGTGCAACCACAGCTGGCACTGGGGTGAGGCAGTGGTGCTGGGGGTGAGGGTAGGGGGTCTCAATCTTGGAGAAAAAACACAAAGCAGGGTTTGGGGAGAACCTCAGAGTCCTGCCCCTGGGAGCCCCATTGTCCATTGTGCCGCCTCCCTGCTCTCACCATATGGGTCTCCCTTTGCAGGGGCAGCAGCCATGGAGCTGGGAAAGAAAGTGATTCTCTATAGCTTCTGTAATTCATCCTATCTGTGGAGGTTCCTTGACTTTTCCCTGTGTCCCTTTATCTCTTGCTCATATTCCATGTCTCCTTTGTCGATGACCAAGAAAAGAGCATATTTCAGCAGGGACATGCTCTATATGGGTTGATAAAAATGAATTTCAGCTTGGATATTTCTAAATGAATCCATGTGACTCGTGGCCAGTGGAAATGGTTGTTCTTCTTGAGATTGGATTGAGGAACCAAACCTTCTTGGTTTGGTTAGTGATTCTTTGGCATTTGGGTCTCTGGCATCCCCTGAAGATGTCTAAACCAAAAGAGGCTGCCTCTGTGGCCTGAGATTTCAACACTGACCAAACCAGGTGTGGTCACCCATGCCCTTAAAGTTCCTGGTGACTTGAGGAAGATCTCATAATGTAAAAAAGGCAAGAACTTCCCTCCAAGGACCTTTGACAAATGTCTCATACCAGGTAATGTCATACTAGAGAGAAGTGCTTGCTTTTAAAAAATTATTTACATACATATATAAATACGTGTGTATCTATATATTTATGTGTCAAAATTTTAAGCCCTATAGAATTTCAGTTTGTTAAAAATCTGAAAGAAAAAAACGCCTGCAAGTTGAAAGGTAATGGAATTTGACCTAGTGAGTTTCCTCAAGCATTTTTAAAACTTATTAAGTTAATAATTTCAGAGAAAATAACCGTTTGGACTTGGTTATGGTTTAGGATCCATTTTCTCAATCCAAGAAAAATTCCAGGCATGCCTTAGCTATTAGCAATGAAAGGGACAGTGCGAAGGGACAGTTTTGAACCGAAATTCACATTCTTGAGGCAACAGAAATCCAAAGGCTATTGAGTGGAAAAATGCTTTCTTTATTCCTTTAGGTAAATAGGCTTGCTTTACTTTTGTTTTCAATGTGATTTTGATATGGAGGATATAATTCCTTCATTCCAGGAAATTTAAAAAAAACAGCCAATATATCTCTTTTTTAAAGGAAAACAGCAACAACAATGAAGACTCAACGCCAATATTTAAATGCTTTTCCAAAATGTGAAATAGTGTGTAAGTTGTACCAGTTACAGGGACAGGTGAGAGTGAGCCATGAACGCGCCACGGTGACGCTTTCTCTGGAATGATGGGAGCATCACTTCTGCAGCATCTCTTTTCCCACAGGCTCTTGGCAATTGTGGGCTTAGGAAATTCAAGCTAATTCTAGCTAAAACCAGATCAAAATTAGGAAGGTAAATCTGACACGCACATGCCATATGTATATACACAGACACATGCATTTTTGTAAGTCAAACAATTGACAGTTTCAAAGCCAAATATAAATACCTTTTAGATGATCGACCATTTTACCTAATCTATACTGGGTGCCCACCTATTAGTGCTAATAAATTAAAGTTGAGCAGATTTAAAAAAAAAAAAATCACTACCAGCTGGGTACACTGGGGACACTTTCCCACTTTTGAAAATGCTGGTGGAATTATGGAGGTGTCTGATTACCATTACCAAAGTGTCATGACAATATACCTTTGTGGTGAACTCTGATTTTCAGGAGGTTGTATAGTAGGAATTTTTAAAAATATAAAAAGAACAGGCTGGGCTCCAATGTTGTTGAAGAATAATGGACTATATTAAAAAGTAGAGAAAAAGAGGCGATGCCTGTGGTCAAGGTTGACCCCAAGGCCCAAAGAGAAGTACCGTGAAGATAACTGTCACGATTCCTAACAGATCAGAGCTGATTTTTTGTTGTTGTTGCTGCTGATGCTGTGTGATGCAGACTTAGCCTAACCAGGAAGAGTGAGCAGGAAATGGTAGATGGAGAAGCGTAGAGCTGGTAGGCCTGTAACTTTCTGATATTTACCTGCAAGACTGGATAGCTTAATAATTTTGTACCTTTAGCTAAGACCAAGTCACCTCTAAAACAAAAGGAGATTCTAGTTTTCAAATAAAGCCACAAAATCCTTACGAAAGGAAGAAGGGGCATCCAAGTTTGGTGTATAAATCTCCTAAGTTAGTGACATTGGCTTTAAGTGTGGATGTCCCAATGCCTATTTTCTACCCGTGATTTGTTTCTTTCCAAGGGCGTGGGGGGAGAGAAAGTTTGTTTTTTTGTTTTAGAAAGTCTCAGAATGCATTGTAAAATACAAAAATAATTTTTAAAATAATATAGGGCCTCACATAGGTAGACACATAATTGAGGCTGATGGGCTAGTGCATGAATCCCACGGGGACCAGAAAAACTTATTGTTCTC